AACTTGTGATACGTCAAATGAATGCAGCCTACAGCACACTGCTGCTCTTAAGCAATTAAATCTACACGCTATTTTTTCATGAATACACATTTGTTTCTTGAAGAGGTTTTACACATTTCAATGACAAGTAAGAATTCATGAATTTTCAAAGTGAGCAGCAATTATTCTCTACTCATACACAATGTGACAAAATGCATGGGATGATTAAAAATTATTTTCAAAATGCAACTACTCTAAGCAATAAAACTGGTGGTATTTTACTTTAGCACTGCAATTTTCAAAAGCAACTGTAACAAAAGACTTGCAAGACTTACTGAGGAAAAAGCTCATTAAATCATTTGAAGTTGTCATATAATACTAAAAAATAGAAGACAAATCTCTTGGCTCATTAGGATTTTTTCTGCTTTCAAAATAAAATTATAAAGAGAAACCTACAACACAAAGAAATGTAGGGGTTTATAGGACTGAATGGCCTAAGAGCAGGCATAGTTTTTCCCTCTACATTACCCGATAGGCATTACAGCACCGCAGCACAATGACTACCCAAACGCTTGTTTATTTTGTATTTTCAAATAAATACATCTTGCAATAAACACATTATAGCCAGGTTATGGCAGTGTTACTTCGCTTAACCCAAGTTTGTTCTTAAATCCAGAACTCAATTTTAAGAAGCACACCTGAGGGAATATTCACAATAAAGCAAAATTATTTCTTTCCACAATTGGTTTATTAAAAACACATTAAAAATTGTCACCTAGTGAACTGCACGTTCTAAAGGAAATCAGTTTTTTATCACGGAAACGTGGTTTCCTTTATATAGAATCCCCCATGAGTAACACAATGTAGCTCCTGTTAGTAAAAACGGAGAACTGCTAGGAGTATTTAACCCTAGACAGAAACTACCGCCAATAATAAAGCCCAGATAATGTATTCTAAAGTAACTTGAACGTGACAGTTTCCTAAGGTTTTTTTAATCTAGGAAATGTTTATAGAGCAAGACTGCTATTAGTTCCCAAAAGGTACCTAGTTTTTTCTCTTGACAATTGAGGAAAGGGAGGAGAAGAAAGGGAAAAGGATGAAAAAAAGTAGAGTGAATGCATTTTAAGAATATCGTTTCTTCCACCATGCTATATATACAACTCATTTGAAGAGAGAATAATGTTATTTGACTATGGAAGAGGGCTTTTCCCCCATACTATATTCAAAATAAAACAAGAAAATATCGGGTTAGCACAATCACGTAGAATGGAAGATGTTAGTCTTTCCTGCTCTGTTCTCAAACTATTTTTCTCTTTTTTTTAAAAAAAAAAAAAGCTTAATTGCTGTAATCAATGTCATTCAGCTACAATAATTAATGTATCCTTTTCCCCATTGGGACACATGCATTCTTGTTTAATTCTTGTCTTGCCAAGACAATGAGGCGGATGCATGCCAAATCTATAACGTGAGAGAGAGCTATAAACATGGAACACTATGTGTTTTCATAAACAATGTCTTTTTCAATAGCAGGATAAAGACAACACACACAATACCCATTCACATTACTAGATCACATTCTTGGATCAAAGACACATGTAAAGCCTTTGGGAAAATAAGTAAAGGTGAATCTGTCCAGATAAGATTAGAGCAGACTTGCAGAGAGAGGAATCATAGGTGCATCTCCTAAATACCATGGCAGTGCAGAGGTAACTGCAAACACACACGGTTTTTAAAGTGTCCAGTTATGCTGAAGCTCCATTTTTCATCAGCTATATTTAAGTCCTCAAACATGTGGACTACTTGCATTGTGGGGTTTTTGGCTTTTTGGTGGGATTTGTTTGGTTGGGTTTTTTTGTTGTGGTTTTCTTTTTTTTTAACATTAAAAAAATAATACTTTGTATTTAACTTTTTCAAAGCTACAGACACTGGACTAGCAGACACTACACAGGCAAAATGGCTTATCCAGAGGAAAGTATACATGCCAGGAGACTCCACTTCTAGTAAAATCAGCCCAGCTCCATCCTTGGCCGTGAAACAGGGCCTAACATAGACAGTAAAACAGTCTTTCTTCTCAAGAACTAACTACTATGTTGTCACGACCTGATGTGAGCTGATGTAGCAGCTGGATGTACCTAATGTTAGTAAAATATTCAGGCATAGCAAGGTATAGACTCATCTTAGATGCTACTTGTTTTTCTGCCCTGTTGCTGCTACAGGTAGGATAGAACCTGGACATCAGTAACGAAATAATTCGCTACTTGTAAAACAGTGCCTCATTCATTCAATTCATTACACAACCAGCAGACTGAAAGCTTCTTTCAGTTTTGTGGTTTGATCTTCAGCACTGAGGACTCAAAAGCTCCCAACTTTCCCTTAAGAGTGTTAAACAATGAGTACACAAACTAATTGCCGTCCCTCATTTCCTTCATATGATAGCTGAACACTCATGAAATCATTTAAGGACTGCAGTAAACATATTGTTGTTTACTCCCACCTCTGTGTCCTCTTATTTGCTGTAATACACCAAATAAGGTTCCTAGGAACATTGTGATAAAAACTTCTCTACAGAGAATGAATAAACTTTCCTCCTACAGGTCAGGGAAGAGGTTGGATGAATTGACAGTTTGACTTAGAATACAATACACAGCATATGCTCTCTTACACCCCTGAATCACAGTACAGTTAAAGAGCACACAGAAATTATGGGATACAGACAATGGAAGCCTCACCAAAAGATGAATGATTTGTGTTAGCAAGACTAACTCCAGCTTCAGATCAGCATATGCTGAGTCCAGCTTAGAATTTACTAGTATCAGGATTTTTTAGCTGAATCTTAAAGAATATGGTTTAAGTCTCTACAAGGATTTTCCTACAATCAGAATTGTGCAATATCCTCCAAAGTTGTATGCAAATTCCCAATTATGGATGAAGAGGCAAAGGTTGCACTTCGTGGGCTAAAGACCCATCTGAAAACTGCCAAAAGGAACAAACTATTCTGAAGGAAATCAATAAGCAGTGTTGTAGCAAGAACGCGATCCTCTCCAATTTGTTCATTACACCTTTATAATGGTAGGCTATAACATATCCATGCACTCAAACTTTTTGCAAAATGAAAAACCTCAATAATCACATTTTTGACACAAAGCACACTTGCACAGCTTTTGTGCAATTGAGCGCAAGCTTATGAATTGCAAAAACCTGAGAGGAGAATTCTTCCAGATAAGACAGTTATCAAAAATGCTAACTGAACAATAGTGGCTCGGTCATATATAACCTATCAAAATACAAGACATATTGCTGAGTAGCCAGTGACAAGGATATTTTCCATACATCATTACTATAATACACTATACATTTCTGCCTGACATACTGAATATCGCACAGCAAGTGCTGATGCTCTGACCGACTGCAGCGTGAGCAGCCTGATGTGCTGACACTGCAGTTACGCACTCTGAGTTCCCAGGTGCTGTATTTAAACTCAGAGAACATGGTACTAGGATATATTCTCAGAATAGAAGGGGAAAAAAAAAAGCAACGCTCATAGTTTAAACAGCGAAACAACCACCACACAGTGATTTCCAAAGGAGTTTTAAGATGATCCTGAAAAGAACGGTTACCTTTTCTCAGAAGGCTGTGAGATTGAACACGGCATACAAAAACGGATCATAGGATAGAGAAGTTGTTTTTGTTGTTGGCTGGTTGTACTGTTCTTTCCAATAACTACTCACCAGCCATTAAGAAAATAAGCAAACAGTACTTCAAAATTCAGACACTGTATTAAAGCTTTTATCTATATGCATATTTCATTTACATTATATAATTAACAATAATGTATTGTATAAGGTTTGTTTTATCATGTTTGCAATTAAAAAATAGTAAAATAATATCAATCTCTGGGAAATGAGAAGACAGCAAGGACAACTAAGAAGAACTTACATTTTTAAAAAGCATACTCACCAAAGACAGTGTTAAGTATGTACAACTTCAGTAAAAGTAGTAATAAATTTGTGTAAACAATAACAAGGTATGCTCTAGTTTCCAAAGAATAAAAAAAAAAATTCAGGAAAGCTACACTTGACTTAATTATGAAAATACAAACAAAAAACATTTCATCTTTTTCTGCTCACTTTAATAGGCCTTAACACAACAGCATTTTATTACACTCCATTAACGATACTTCACTTTTCCTATAGCTAAGTATAAAAGCTATAGGAAGGCATTCACTTTATTACCTCATTCTATACGTATTTTAAAAATCTGATGTGAAGATGGCAAAAAATGATGGCTATGTAAACACAGCACGTTATGAACCTCAACAGCTTGAAGAAGGTCACAAGGACCATCTCCAACTGGAAAACCAAGTCAAAAGCAGCAGCGGACTCGAGCCACGGCTGAGCGGGGAGAGCCGAGGAGGAGCTCGTTTCCTGCCTCCATCTCCAGCTCTCACCAGCAGACCACATACAATTACCTTCCTAATCAAGAACATCCAGCAAACAATCTGCTCAAAGATAATTGCTAAGTACATTTGCCATCAATATGCACAAAATTATCGCTAATAAATGTCACTGTGAATTACAGTCAAGTGCTACTAGACATGGTATGAACATGGATCTACCCCAGTGACAAGAATCACTTTTCATACCATGCTGCGAGGAACTCCCAGCGTCAGGAATAAAGATCCTGGGGGTTCAAGCTAACAAAACATCTCAGCTTTTCCATCCATTCTACTGTGCTACGCTTGACCACTGAAGCAAGAGATGGGCGATTTTTTAAAATCAAGTATAAACCCATAGGCAGGCTGCAATGATAGCTTATTATAAGCAGGTGTTACTTTATAATGCATCGGTTAGCTGACTTAATTCTTGGAGATTACTCATCACAGTTTAAATACATTAAACCATTTCAACATGTAGCACAATCTTTTGGCACCAGAAGTCTGATTTCCCCACAGCAACAGCAGGCGCCAAGGAGTTAAACAGATTTTAATGAACAGTTTTCACTATTCAATGAGCAAGCAGCTATTAGATATTCTCAACGCGTGTCCTTGCTGGACTGATTGTTGAGAAAAATCCACATTCAGATACTTCTGGTTGTTCTTCCACAATACACTCGCACTGTATTAGCATTCTGATACCAGTCCTTTTTGCCAGACCATTTTTGGCTTTATACAATAAACAACATGCAATTACAAACTCAACATTATCTTTACAACAAAGCAAAGGAAATCAGGGCTCCTGTCCCGGCATTATCCATCATGTGTTCTGTCAGAGCATCTTGATATGGCGCTACACAAAGATTTGTGGCAAACAGTGTTATGACCTTCTTTTTGCTGTAATCAAACTGATTTTAACACATTCACATCATTCACATTCAAAAAGAAGGACCAGACAGCAGAAAGAACAGCTAGATTACTTGAGCATCTTTTCCACTATCTTTCATCTTGTATAATACATGCTCCATTTCCTGGAGATGCATTTATTTTTTAACATTCTGCCTAAATTCTTTGACTTTTCCTGTACTCTTGTATAAACTACTGCCCACTAATTAAATTTTAGCAGTTGCCTTTTCAATGGATCAGTTGTTACCACAGTACTGTTATCTTCCCTCACTAGATTCCTAAAAATTGCATTAATTCCACTCTCTGATGCTGCTGGTTTATGAAACATATGTGAAAAGAAACACTAAATAATTGTGACATCACCATTCCTCCAGTAGTATGTGGTCAGCTTCACTCCAACTCTATTCTGTTCTTCTGAAGAGGACCGTTACCACCTTTCCAACTGTATGAAAATGACTAAGCTACATCACTTCTAAACAACTGTTTAAAAAAAATGCCAAATTAAGTTTTTAAGTAAATGGCCATTTTAAATTTAATACAAATCTTTAAAGAAAAAATAAACCAAACAACTTAAACCCTGCTCTAAAAGAGGTCTATTTTGCTATAAGAACCTGTAACATGCCAACAGCTTGCTAATAAACGGTTAATTCTAGCGGAAGACGACAGTCATTGTGTTATGAAAAGCTCTCATCACATTTTGAAGGTGTTCTCTTTCACATGTATGATACAAAGGAAGATGGTTTACACCAAATTACTTCAGAGCCCAAAGGAAGTAAGTCAGTTTTACTATTGACTACATACTTTCAGTCTCACAGGTTGTCCTAAACAGTAAACACGTTGTACGTAACCTCATTGGTACTTCATCTCTAGTTTTAAAGCAAAGTTTGGGATTCTTAGTGTAAACAAAACATAGAATCATAGAATTATTTCAGTATTTTCATCTACAAACATCAGAGCTTTTTAGTTTCTTGTGGGATATTTGTTTCACCAGCACTGGTGTATACCTACCATATGAGCCTGCTGCTTTCTCTTCATAAGTAAAATGAAGTTGCAGCTCCTCTTCTGACATTCGACTGATGAATACTTTCAGTAAACAGCAAATAATAAACAGCGCATTGTGAGCCTGCCAAATAAAGAGGTGACTAGAAAAGAAGCAGAAACAGACAAGAATCAGTAATGCTTAACCTGCAAACATGCATCAAAACCCACAAGAAAATACATGCCAGGGTAGACAAAAGGGTTGCTTCAGTTGAAGCAAGGAAAAGCCAAAGTGCTTAAGCAGGGAGTCTTCAGTTGATGGTACAGCAAACAAACTGGAAATGTATTTGAAAGAATTATTTTTTTCTTCCCCCAAGAGGATACAATCTTGTTCCTAAGTAGGTTTGTATTGTTAAAAACAACACAGTCGCCAGAAGAGTCGCTCTTCGAAGAGCTCACCAGATGGCTCAGCATACTTCTAAATGTTTCTAGATACTATGGACTCAAGCCACCCAGACATTTGAAAATTTCCAAGCTTCGATATGAAAGCTACTCTGGCTCCCTGAACCTTAACACTTTTCCCAGTCAAATAGCCTTCAGATGACCGTAGGCATTTATGGACTTCAGGAGCACAATATAGCAAGATTTTTCTACGCAACACACACAGATATTTTCCAAGCTTTCTGAACGCAAGGGGAATACAGCTTCATTATGTTTTCTTGAGTCCCAATAAGCAACTGCTGGAAAGCTCATACAACAGCATATAGTCAAGCTCTTGCTTGAAGTTATATTTTCAAGGTATTTTTGGATTAAAGCAGCAGGAGCTATCTAGGCAGGAAAAACTTCTTTCTCCAGATATAAGCAAGAAGGTTGAGGGCAGTCCTGGGAGCAAGGGGGCATTAAAAAGAAAGTCTTCCTTTTTGAAGCCCCAGATCTGATGAGAGTTGGACATTTGTCTGTGGGTGTGGGGGAACAATTACAGAAAGGTTCCTGCAAAAACTATACAGTTGCTGCACACCTAACCTCTTGGAGTTCTTTTCCACTGCTGAAAGGGGCAAGCAAAACCAATGGCAGTTGCATGATATGATTTGAAAGCAATGTCTTTATACAGAAGTTTGTGTTCAAATCCAATCCAATTTAAAAGATTTCCAAGATAAAATACTGGTTCATACATTAAGATTTAGCTAAAAAGGTCAAGTGATTTTTTAAACAGCTCTAAACCACTGGTAACCAGAAGTTAGACCATTTGTACACAAATGTGTTTATGTAACACACCAGATGAACACAAACATATCTTTTTCCCCAGCAATCTATTTATCTATTACACTTAAACCTTCTGTGTTTGGAAAAGTACTAGATACTTGTTCTGTTTCTAACAACGATTTAAAAGAATTCTAAGTTTTGGTCTGTGATTATGTTAACTAGCAAAGTAAAATACTCAAGAGCTAGCAGCAAAAGGAACATTTAAGAAGTGAAATGGCACACACAGCTTTTTTCCGGGTACTTACTTCTGGCATTCTGCTGAAATTTTTAACTCTTTGGTTCTAGAAAGAAAGACTTTAATCAAAGACCCAAGGTTTCCTGTTCGAGGATTCTTCTCAACTAGGTGACAAAAAATAAGATATGATTATATAGCATGCGTAAATTGACATTATTTAGTTTAAACAATATACAGAATGAAACCAAATTTCTATGTCTTAAATATTTCTACATAAAGCACAGTATGTCTGTTTTTCTGTACAGCTGTTGTTCTTCTTTTAAGATTCTCCAGTACATGCCTTACTACTCCATAATTGTTCTCTCAACATACTTTTTATCCTAGATTTAAAATATCCCAAATGTGGAGCTCGTACTGCGTACTGCTTCCTTTCCAAGACTTGTCTACAGCACAATAGTCTCCTGTCAGAAAACTGGGCAGGTTTTCACAACTAGCTTTTACTTTCTTGAAACATCGTTGATCAAGTTTATATTATCCCTTCCTTTGTCCTCTGATTAATTCTTTTCCCTTATTGATCAGCTTAGAGGGCAGAGGGAAAAAGAGGCAGTAGGGATGGAGTTATTTGTTTTAAACATTTCAGTCATTTTAAGTTCTACAAAACAGTTAACGAAGGAAGTTTCTAAAAGTTTGGGATATATAAACACACTCTTTACACTTGTCCTGGTTTCGGCTGGGATAGGGTTAAATTTCTTGCCAGTGCTGTGTTTTGGATTTAGTATGAGGAGAATGTTGATAACAGACTGATGTTTTCAGTTGTTGCTAAGTGCCCTCCTAGTCCAAGGACAGCTCCCATGCCTACTGACTGAGCTGGGTACACAAGATGGGAGGGAACATAATCAGGACAGCCAGCTCAGCTGGCTAATGGGGTATTCCATACCATGTGACGTCATGCTCAGTATATGAATGGTAGGCGTGATCCAGGAAGTACCAATCGCTACTTATCGGTCAGCACGGGTGGTGAGCAATTGCATTGTGCATCACTTATTTTGTATATTTTATCATTATCATTATTATTCTCCCTTTTCTGTTTTATTAAACTGTCTTTATCTCAACTCACGAGTTTTTCTCACTCTTACCCTTCCCATTCTCTCCCCGTCCCACTGATGGGGGTGGGGGGTGGGGGAGTGAGTGAGCAGCTGTGTGGTATTTGGCTGCCTGCCAGGTTAAACCACGACAACACTACTTTAATCTTACTAGTGGAACACATACAAGTAAAGTATACTGAAGACACAGATGTGCACGTGAATGCTGTTTTTTAATTTTTCTGATCAAGCACATGGAAAAAAGTTAAGATGTCACAATTTCTCACCTAAAGACTTGCAGACTGAGATTGTGGCTTCTTCCAAGAGCTTTAAGTCAGCACTAGAAGAGGGGGAAAAGAAAATAAAAATGGTTACACAAGCAATTGGGTTCCTGTACTTGAAGCGGAAATTCATTACAAAACAGTAGTAAAATATTTCTATGAAGCACTAAATTTTACTAATCCATTAGCTGGTTTACATAGGTATCACAGAAGCACAGAATGGTTGACGTGAGAAAGGACCTCTGGAGGTCACCTTGTCCAACCTCCCCGCTCAAGCAGGGTCACCTACAGCCAGCTGCCCAGGACCAGTTGTCCAGGTGGCTTTTGAATATCTCCAAAGACAAAGACTCCACAACCTCTCTGGGCAACCCATTCCAGTGCTCGGTCATCCGAGTATCAGGACAACATGCATTTGAAGTACAGTGACTATAAAACAGGAAACTAATATTCAAAAATGAGTTGTTTGTAAAAGTGAAATGACATCACTACATCATTTGCGTTACTACCACCTTTGTGACTTCAATACTGCCATACTTAGCTTGATGCCACTGAAAATACACATGGAACAGCAGCCTACAGAAAGAACTTGATTTTTTTTACAAGAACTATCATATGAAAGAACATCTTTTTAAAAAGCATAAATTAAAGAATCCACAACCTGACATTTAACCTCAAGCTAAGCAGCACTTTCCTTTAACTAATGTTATTATATTAATGCAACAATCACATCAGATACACCAAATTTTTCATAACTTCATTAACTGCCTGCTGGTATGCCTCAATGAAAACCATCAGCTGAAAAGAACAGTAAAGCACTAAAGCAGAACCTGCCAACAACCACTAAAGTAAACAGCAGCTGCGTCAAACACATAAAAAACCATTTATATACTTCTATCACTACAAAGCTACCAGTACAAAGTAACTGATCCCCTAAAATAAAACTGAAGAATACATGGGAAGTATATTTTCCTTAACAGATAGGAATAAAAGACAAAAAATAATCAGATATTGTGTCCAATGCCACATTAAGCAATATGAAGGTGTCCCAATATTAACACCTAAAGGGCAACTTGTTCCACAGTTTCACCACCCTCATCATAAAAAATTTCTTCCTTCTATCTAGTCTAAATCTACACCCTTTTAGTTTAAAACCATTACTCCTTGTCCTATCGCTATAGGCCCTACTGCTCAGGATATCAGAGGAGATTGTACAGCCTCTATACATACACACAGACATACAGTCTGACCTACAGGAATGGCAGTCCTTCTGAAGTTCTCCAAATTAAAAGTCAGTCAAAAAAACCCAAACAGTTCAATGCTTACAGACATAACACAGTATGTAATACAGGATAAGCAATTTCAGAGCTCATGCAGCTACATCCTTGTAATTACAGGTATGAAAATCACCATCCTCAAAATAAATAGGAAAGTAGCAATCTAATGAAACCTGAAGCCTATACAAGTCAGTGGTACGGCCTCCATTCAAGCACTCTTCTCACATAAAAATATTGCAAAACTTAATACTGCCATAATTAGATTGCCAAAGTCACTGTTGCTTCCTAAGCATTGAATTTTCTGATGAGTAACCTGATTTATATAAAAACATCAGAGACTGAAGACAAAAAGGGCATGGTACCACATGCATTCTCTCTGTCCCACCTGCTCAACGCCATCTTGGCAACTACCTGCAGCTCTGCCAGTGAACTTCTAAAATGCAGTGGTGGGGTAAACAGTCCCCCCTTCTTTCTGTTTTTAAATTTAGATGGTAATCCAGTTTACAGCACAGTCCTAAGAACTGTTGCATCAACCTGAGATTAACTGTGGTGCTGTGTGGGAAGCCCCTAAACCAGCTCCACTGCTGAAAAACTATGTGGAGCCGTGCTCTTGGAAGCTGTTGAGTTTGTCTGAGCTGTGCCCAAACTCCTGAGGACTAGAAGAGGAGGTAAGGATATTGGTAGAAACAGCAGCCAAAAGAATTACTTCAAAACTTTTCAATAGGACATGCCTCAAGATAGAGATATCAAACAAATTAAGTTTTAAGATGCCTGCAAATTTTCCTGTGTATCAGACTAATTTACTGTGTAGTGAGCTGACAGCAGAGACAGCTCTTCACCTACAGCTGAATATCCCAAGACAACTTTAGATATGCAGATTGGCTTTTTTTGATATCAAATATCAGCATTCTTTCCTCCATTATAAATTGCAAGAACAAACTCACACTTTCATATACACTTTAACAACATCAGACTTAGTCTCAAAGGTGGTCTCTTGTTCCAGTGCTAAAAACATGCAGAGTAATTAAAACCAAATGGTATAAAACTAGAACACCCCGCCAGCAACTACAGACAACACAGTTTTCTAGGTCTATGTGAAACAAGGACTTTTTGCACCTTTTTTTTTAAAAAAACCCAACTTCTAAATTTGTCAAGCTGGCTGCTTGTCATCAGTATGTATTCCTTCCTAAGAGCTGACAGGCAGGGTGAATATTATATTGGACACCAACTCAGTAGAGAGTTCTTAGGTACCGAATAATCATAATCCAACACAATGTGACCCACCTCTCACTTTCCAAAGATGCTGGGGACTTCTGTAATACAGACTGAGTGTTTATAGTAATTGCTCCAGGATTTAAACCATAAATGTAGACATACAGCTTTTAATCATAGTTCATTTTTCCCCTAATTTCTAAGCAGTTAGGTTTTAAAGTATAGCATTCTTACAGGGTTTTTTTTCTTCCCTTTTAGTTATTAAAACCCACACAAAGTCCTCAAACAAATTCCGCAGAGCTGCCTGATTTCTACAAGTTGCCAGGATCAAAAACAGTGGCAAACCAAGCAAGACCTTCAGATCTTCAGCAAAGCTTTTAACACTTGACCATTCTTTTTCCTACCAAAATGAAGTTTAATACTTAAAAATTAACTACAGCCCACTCCCCTTTATTCATACAACAAGAACACAGAATTGAATTTTGCCATCCTCAAGACTAGGCAACAACATCTGCAAAATTTTAGTTCACGCAACAGAAATACTTAGCGAGAAGGAGCTACAGCAGAACACAACCCCAGCACACACACAGAGCAAAATGGTGTTCTTACACTCAACAGAAGCAATACTACTGCTACATACCCAAGGATGGATTCATGGAGAAAGTATAGTGGGGGGTACAGAAAACAGCAGCCCATTTCCATGTACCTGGGGCAAAGCATAGCAGTGGCTTTCTTTCCTTCACTTAGGCAGGAAAGAAAAGTGACAGATATGGAAAAAGCTGTCTGCATATTTTTTTGTGCTGTGAAGACAGGAGATACCATTATATTAACACTTAGGCAGAAAATGCCAGAGCCAAGATTCATAAGGCACAAAAGAAATTCTACAAACAGCTATGGTATTGACTTTGCTCTACAATCCCTGTGGAGATGACATTTGGCTAATGAATGAATATAAGAATGGAAACCTAACACTACAACATCTGTCCTTTGATTAATCCACAGAGCAGCACCGGTAGTATTCAAACTACTTTTTAGCACTAAACAAGAGCAAGCACTGATAGAGTGAAGCTCCTTCACTGGACTGATCAAAAATAAAAGTTCCAATTCTCTCTGAAAACCCTGACCCGAGGAATACGGACTGCCTTGTTGCCAAATATATGTGTATACACATGCACATATATAGATATCTATTTTAGGAGCTTGCTATTTGGGACAAAAAAAGTTTAAAATGCATTTAAATTGATCCTCTTCAACATATTATATTTAATTGTAATGAAGTACTTGAGAAAACAACCTTTCAGAAAAGAAAAGGAAAAAATCCTACACATTTCCCATTCTGCAATTTTATCTACCAAGAACTGGAAAAATAAAAATTACACTTCTTCTGAAAAGAACCTTCTGAAAGACAATATTTTCTAGAACACGTAAAAATAGAAGAGAGATTCATTAGGGATGGAGAAGTAAAATATCCCCTGGTCTATGAGGAATCGTTAGTATATTCTCAACAAGAAAAAGATTATCAGTTTCTAGCAATAAACAAGCAGCAAGGTAAGTAAACCCTTCCTGCTGCTTGATGGCACTGCTGAGCATCACTAGGAGAAACCCAGACACCCCAGTAACATCCAGTAAGCCCTGCCATGGAGGAGACACCACTTTGGGAGGTGTTCACGTGCACATGGCAACAACCATCCGCTTCAGGCCATGGATCTTTAATATAATGATCACAGTGACCTGGGTGAGTTTGTACATGTAATCACATATTTCAACTGGCACTACCTGAAGTAAACCATTTGGTTTTGGGAAAGTAGCACATATCCCAATCACATTTACCAGTTCTACAATTTTCCGAGGCATGAGCAAAAGGTATCACCTGGTGTGGGGATTCAAACGGGTTGTGAGCACTGAGGGGAACGCTAAGGATTCAAAGAAAAGTAGACTTAACCACGCAGACTTGACTGGCTCATTTAGATCCAAGCAAACGTGTGAGGTGCGGGATTGCTTCCCACACACTTCAGGAAAAAATTCCAGGCTTCAGAGGAATTCCTGGCTCATCCTGTGATCTGGTGGCCAGCATTTTCAAAGTCCTTTATAAAAGCAAGAAATTATTTTGTTTGGTTTTTTACGTAGAGAGTAGGCACACAGACTTCAGCAGAACTGTAATTAATAATAGTGAAATTTGCTTCCTGACAGCACAGACTTCTTTAAAGTCTCAACACAGCAAGCAGTAAGAATATTTTGCATACAAATTGTCACTACAAACCCATCTGTACACAGGAAGCATCTGTGTGACACTAGGTATCGCACATCAGCGATAGAAGTAAAGAGCAATCAAGGGTAATCCCCTTCTGTCGGAAAGAGGACAGCACAGCCACTACACCTACGTCACATAATAAGGACTCCGTACTAGGAAGGGGAGAGAAGAAATCAAAACTAAGTTCAAACTTGCAAGCTCAAATACTGCCCCTCTGATACTAGAGGTCACCTCTTTTTCCTGATACAGAAGCTCAATCCTTCAAACCTGTACCATCACATAAATGTCATTTGCGAATTCGATGCACACACACCCACTCAAC